ACTTCCACAGTTCACACTTTTTTTTCCCATGTAATTACTTTTCACTTTGATGACTTTATACTAAATACATTTCTCTCTAAAGTACACATTTTTTTTGTGAGAAGGTGTTAAAAAGAGACAAAGCACAGAATGTCATAAATACTTAAATATTTATGAGACAAAAATGCCAATGTCCTATAATGTATTACAATTTGTTTAAATTTTGAAGTGATTTTGCATTTTATATTATTTGTTCACGTTTTCTACTGTTCCCAAAACACTGAAGGAAATGGGTCTGAAGCATGGAATAATTAACACCTAGAAAACTACTGTAAATCAGCAAAGCAGTCAGGTGCTCCACCTTATTACTCTCTAAAAATCAGTAATATTACTGATTCCTTATTATTGTCTAAAAATCAGAAATGTGGTGTCATCCCTGCATATTAGCAACTTCTGATCTAGCTTTGACACTGATGTTAATACACTGAGCATAAAGTGGGACTAAATAAAAATGATTACAGTCCAAAAGGTATATGATTTTAAATATGTAACAGATATTTTATGCTATTCCTCTATAAAGAATAGATCACAACCTAGAAATTAGAATTCAGACCCAGCAATAGGGTACTAACCATCCCCAGTAGGTCCACAAACAAACAAAATTAGGACCGCTTTTCTTTTCCTAGGCATCTCACTGCTTTCTACATCTTCATGTGAAGAGAATATGCCTGCCAAAAATACACTCAGAATTCCTCTGCTAACAGACACTTGTAAAAATAAAACTTTGAAAAGACATAAAGAGAAGAAACAGCATGTTCTAAATGCTATGAAGAATCCAACATGATTTTCATTGGTCTTGGGACCTGGCAGCCATTCGACTTGTACTTTACTGTCTCAGCTCCTGTATGCATAGACCGGTTCTCAATTCTAGGGCTGATGAAGAACTATTTGTATGATTTCATTTGTAGCTTTTTAGTGCTACTTCTAATGAGAAGTCACCCCAAAAATAACTTATCCACTTTTGAATTCTGAAAGAGGTTCAAAAGGTTGTTGGTTCTAAAAAATACTAAATAAGTCTTAACATGTAAGAAGAGTTTCAATTTATTTTTTTAATTCATTTTTCTACCTACTTTCAGAAAGAATTTGAGCAACAAACAGAAAAAGAAAAGATGCACATACAATAGAATTTGATAAAATAAAATATCAAATCAAGTGGGAGGAGATAATTACAACAAAAACCGGACTTAAACACTAAACACTTCATGGCAGTGAAATTCAGATAAGAATTATTTTCACTGATGCAATTTTATTAGGAGAAACAGATTTTTCGTGTATCAAAGTCTAAGATTGATTCATCCCCTGGGAATATAGAAAGTTCACTAAGCAATATGAGTATGCAATAAGATGGAAGTGTCTTCAGCAATTGTTTTACTGAAGTTACGTAAAGGTACTTCATCTGAAATGTGCTGTAAATCGATGAATCTTTTTATATAAAGAGATTATGATTACTAGAGATAAAACTGTAGTAATACAGAAAAAGAAGTTTTTAGAGGTCTAAAGAATGTGTGTATCTGAGGGCTCTCATATCGTGTTGATTCATATCTTGGATTTTAAAGATCTATGCAATTTTATTTTCTAAGTGCTGAGGAACAAACTCAGTGTTGTTGATGGAAAACACATTAATACATGTTTTGTAACAGTGTTTCCTTCCTGGAAAATTACAATATAAAGCCTAAAGTGTTTCTCTTGAGTAAAGGCAGAACCATCTCTTCTTGGTACAAGTCTGAGCTGCAAGAACATCTGCAGGCAGAACCACAAAATATGTCTGAGATGCATCATTTATATATGCTCAGGACTGAATAGTCTCATTGATCCCAAAGTAACATATGAAATGCATGAAAGAGATCATATATATTCCCACCTCGGCCATAAAAGAAACTCTGCCTTTGTTCCTTGCTTCACAGATCTGACATGAAAATGTATATCTAAAATTTCCATGGTAGACTTTTAAAACATAGATTTAATAACCTAACTATGTGAAATGATTTGGGAATCAGCACTGTAGGAGACACATTCTTAGAGACAGTTTCTTAATAGCATGTAAGATTCCTCCCAGCCTTCCCAATAGCATACCAGCAATGGAATTTCAATATTCATCATCTCTAAAAATCTCTCAAATTTTTTACACCTGATGGATGACTTCTACTATCTGAAATTTAGGGAGATCATGTTGATGAAAAATTGATATTAATTCAGTCTCAAAAATTAAATTTAAAAAATCTTGCTCTTATCTTTCTCAATTCACTTAGTACCAGATTAGTCTGAAATCTGTCTTTTCCATTATAATTTCCCACAATGTTGTTATCTCTTTTTTGGCACCCATGATCGGCCTGTGCCACGGTTACTTAGATATATACTAGATGATCTGCCTTGTGAGGGTCGGTAAGGTTTGTTTTTTGTTATCATGTCTGGCCTCCCCAGTGCCATATCCCAGATTATGGACAGGTCTACTCAACCAGAGAATGCCAGGTGAATTGAATTAAAGCTGTGGGTTCAAGTCCAGAAGAAAGTAGCATGTATATAGAAATTTGAATGGTGTCAATATGTCAGATGTTCCTAAAATAAATTCTGGGCTGATCTCTCTTAAAGGCTAAAATTTTAAATGAATTATTTATAAAAAGCAAAGACACTTCACAAAATTTCTGTTAAACTTGTAAACTAGCACATATGAAACATTCTAGCACAGATTTGCTTACCATGTGGATTGAGAAACAGTGTGCAAAGCCCTTAGGAAGCGGGGTGTACACAAGTACATACTGAGAAGGAAAGGTCTGGTACATGGGTCTCTGACCAGAAAGGGCAGGCCTAGAAGGATGTCTCAGTGTGAAAGGCTGGACAGCCCAGGAAGAGCCCAAGAGGACAAGGGAGCTGCGAAAGGAGGCTGACAAAGAAAATGAAGTGAGACATGGGATATGGGCCAAAGATGCCAAAGCCAAGCTTAAACCACTTCCCAGCTTGCCCAAAAGCACAACTAGCTATTAGAAAGCCCATTACTAAAGAACAGCCTAAAACTTTCTCTGAGGAATTACATCTAGTCATTTGGATCTTTTAAGATGCTCTCCACCTCCCTTTTCCCTCATCACAATCACATCCTGATTAAAGCAAAGTCAGCCGTCAACATGCCAGTTGACCAATCAGTCCCACCCTACATCTAGCCTTAATCTGTTTTCAGTCAGGGACCCATTTCAACATTTACTTGAAATAATTGCCTGGGTGAAAGTATGTCCTCTTTGGTAGCTGTGTTTTCTCTTCTAGGTCATCAGGATCATGAAGCAATCATTTGAATTTACCAAATTTTATTCTAATTATCTGGACAAAGAATCCCACCTTCCACAAAGGATCTGCTCTTTATATGAAAAATAACAGAAGCACAGTCGAATTGCAATTCCCCTGCGAGTGGCACCTTAGCATATAATTTATCAGGAGGAGACAAGGATTTGGCATAAACCAATGAAAGATCACCTGCCACAAATCACAACAGCTCCACAATGGAGTAATGCACTAAAGTTGATGGCTAAGTGGATCTGATTTTATCCAACATAACCTTGCCCTCCTGAACTTCTGAGGGTGCCCTCTTCAAGTGATGCCTCAGTGTGGTTGAGTTTGGAATTATCTGTGCAACTCTCATACCTCTTTGAAGTCACACATGCACTTGAGAGAAAATAGAAGTGAATTATGTAGGGACTGGAAGAACTTTTCCAGCTCCTGCCATAGGAAATATGGCAGGTGAATACACATTTGCTGGGGGGGGGGGGCGGTCATTTTGGATTTTTGGTTAAATTTACAAATGCATATTTAAGTAGACACATTATATGAAATCCATAATATAGATTTAAAAATATTTATCTTCAAAAGGCTTTAAAACAGATTTGGGCTAACATTTTGTTTTAAGCATTGCAAGAGTATATTATTTTCTACTAATAATATTGTTGTAATGCTTAATCAATATATAAAATAGAAACATTTTATATAACTATACTCCTTGAGGCCCACTCTTATTCATTATTTAACAACGATGGAATGTCAGGAATTCCACCCATAAACTTCTATCATCCTGTTGTTAATTCAAGATCAACAACCAGTGGCTGCAAATTGACTTTAACATTTAGTATTGTTAACATGTAGTATCTTTGCTATATTTAAGATATTACCTGGGGGGAAACACAAATTTATTATACAATTAACTTTTTTAAATTGTCTGTTTTAAGAGGCAGAAATTGTTTGTGTTCATTTTCTAGCTACTTTAAAATTCTTAATTCCCAATTCTGGATTCTAAAGCACATAACAGGTAACTAAAGAATCAGGAGTTATAGAGTCAATGAAGAAATTGCTGCTGTCTTAGAAAAAGAGTGTCTCTCCCCTCAAAATAAAACCTTAGCCCAATCCATTATACTAGATCTAATTCTGCCTGGCCCAAGATTCCACCCCAGTGTAAAATATCTCCTATTGCCCTACTGTTTCTTTAACTGCTATACAGATACTCCTGAACTAACTGTAAGATGTACACACTCTAGTATAATAGCCATCAAGTTCAAATTTGTCTCCCCATATATTACTTCAAAAAAGTGTAGCATTCACAGCACTGAAATACTACTTCTGAGCGAAATCAGTTGAAAGAACCAAGCACAACATTTCCCATTTACAGGGCTATGCAACCACTAGAAACAGGGAGGGATTGCATAATGTTTCAGAAGTTTTTCCAGTGCTATGTCATTCATGTGCATAAAAAGCTAATGCAATGCATTTCTAAAATACATTCTGAAGAATTAATAAAAGCTTGGGCATAGGGTTTCAGAAAATAGAAAATAAAAGGACTCCTTCAGTATGCATTAAGTTAAACTTTAGGCACACTCTTTATTGCTTTGCTGTAGCTTAGTGCCAGAATTCCCAAGTTAAGTATGAAAAAGAGAAATTACATTTCCTGATAGCCCTGGAGCCACCTAGGATGTAGCATCACTTACCTAAAGATGGGTCTTTGGAGATGTTTCCTCCTGATTGTGACATGGTCATCCATTTAAAGGTGAAAGTTTAACTTGTTCCTGGGAACCACTCCAGAAATCCAGGGAGAGAATGTGGAAGCTTATCCTGATCTATTGTGCTGCAAGGAGCCCAGAAGGAAAAAGTAGTTTTCTCTTTCTCTTTTTGGGTGCTCGAGAAAACTTCCCTGCTCTCTGCCAGCTGAGCAGTGTGTCCATAGAGGCCACATAAGACAGGCACGTTGGGGCACTCCCCCACAGAGCAGGGTGTGCAAAAACACCGAGTCACGTTGACATGGACAAGAGGAGTGCACAGGACCCTCAGAAACAGAACAAAACAAACAGAAACCTTCCTACCCCCGTGGCACCCAGGTAGGAGCTCCCTAGGTTATTGCAGCCATGAGAGCACTCCTTCCACATGCTGGTCAAGCTCAGAAAAGCTAAGTCCCTCCCTGTCTTTAAAACAGCCCGTTCTGAGGTTCAACTTTTTTCTTCAAAATAAAAGTTGTACAGCTGGTTCAGCAGTCCCATGTGAGTACCCTCTGAAAGTTTGTTCTGTTAAAATAAGAAGAAAGATGTTCTTTCTTCTTATTATACAAATTAATGAAGAAATACAAATTAATACAAATTAATGAAGAAAGATGGACGCAGGCTGCATGGCTGGCTTTGATTCAAGAGATTATAATTATTTTACAATCTTGCTTTTATTCTTGCTGGATGAAGTGTGGAGACGACTCAACATTTTTGGCACTCATAACCTAATAACCTACACTTGGCTGAAGTCGAAGATGCCATTTCAACTGATAGAAACCCCTGTGAAGCTAGCCGGAGCTACAAAAGTTAGAAAAACAAAATTTTCTTAATTCCATCAGTGACACTGTACCCAGATATCTGTACCCAAGTGTAGCTTTCCAACTAAGAGGGGAAACTGCAAAAAAGATATGGAAACACACACACACACAAACACAATTTTTTAAGTCCCCCAAAACTCCCTGGGAACCTAAGGTTTTTATATTATACAATCAAATTTTAATTTATGAAAATAAAAAGAAAGAAAAGTAGATATAAGAAGTTGTGAACAGCTGAAAATAAATGACATTAAAAATTATTTTACTTGGAAGACTTAGACTCACACTGCAGGGACTTTTGTTCAAGTTACAGATAAGGCGAATCCCCATATTTTAATATAACTTATTTTGGAGACATTCCTGTATCTAAATCACTAAAAAAATTTCTACTCAATCGATAATGTCATGAGATTCCAGGCCACAGGTATGTTATGTAATAAAATAAACCATCTGAAAGCACGATTAAAATGTTTTAAAAAATACACATGTAATAAAAGGTGAAAAAACTGAGAGACACACATGCTTTAGTTGAATAATACATACAAATAAGGATCAAATGTCACAGAGGGGGATATGATCATTATGGTGACAACCTGTAGCTCTTAGCACCCTCTAAATATGCCCACAGGAGCAAGAACACCTTTTTTTTTTCCTCCCAGAGGAGAGACAAAGAAGAAGAGAATTAAAAATAAATCATTGATCATATTGAGCAGTTCTAATCCACACTAGGAAATGGAATCAGTCTGAGAATGCATTGAACTAAAAATAAAATAAGTGGCTTCTAGTCCTAGTTCTATTATTAGCTTTCGTTTTGTCTACTTTGATTTTAGAAAACTGAGATGATTTCTTCATTAACATGATGGAAGGAACTCAACAGGAATACTAATAAACATCTAACCAAGGTACAGTTCAAATGACAAGCAAGTATACAATCTTACTTGAGGCTCAAAGCCTTGATTTATCAACTGCAGAATCTAAACGTTGTTAAACTAATTACAGAAAATCCATAAAATAACATCATTGCTTGCATTAGGTTTATATTCTTTTTGCTCTGAAGTTAAGGTAGAAAACTTAGATTCCCACTTATATTTTACACTATATTTATTTTTAAATCCAATCTTAGAACTTAAGGAGCCCTAAGAAGATAACTGTAAGTTAGTCACTTGGCACAAAGAAAAATATGTATTTCTTAAATGTTTTCATTAACTTTTTCTCTAACAGCATTTAAACTTAATATTTGAGAGAAAAGTTTGCTTTGTTAACTTATTCAAATTTAATGTAGTATTCAATAAGATGAAAAAACCTCACTATTTTTGCTTAAATTGCAAAAAATATAGTCTTTAACAACTGTACTGTGCAAAATACTAAAATTTATCATAAAAATAAACAGACTAAATCTCCTATTAAAATATACTAAGGACGGGCTTCCCTGGTGGCGCAGTGGTTGGGAGTCCGCCTGCCGATGCAGGAGACCCGGGTTCGTGCCCCGGTCCGGGAGGATCCCGCGTGCCGCGGAGCGGCTGGGCCCGTGATCCATGGCCGCTGGGCCTGTGCGTCCGGAGCCTGTGCTCTGCGGCGGGAGAGGCCACATCAGTGAGAGGCCCGCGTACCGCAAAAAAAAAAAAAAAAAAATATACTAAGGATAATTTATTTTGAATAGTTTTTTTCTGGGGGTGGGGATCGGAAATGATTTTTGTATTTTTCCTATTATGGTGAACTCTTTTTCAGTATGACTTAGCCTAACCCTTTCACTCCCACCCACTACACACACGTACAGGCACCAAGAACAAATTCTCCCAGGCAAAGCTATTGGCAGGAGCTGTGAAGCATAAGAGCTCAGAGAGGGACAACAGTGTGAAAAGACTGCCATCGGCCCCTGACCCAGATGACAAGAATCAAGAAGCCCCATCCTGCGTGTCTCTTGGAAGCACAACCCTGAGCGGCCCCTCCATCCACTGCTCCTCTGCTGCCGTCTGTATCTGCATCCTCCCAGGCTTGGGCGCCTACTGCAGGGGCAGCAACTCTGAGTCCAGCTCAGACAGCAAAGGCACTATCAACACCACCGGCAAGATCTCGTCTCCTCCATCTTCTGAACCTTCCTCGAGGCCCCCTAGCTCCTCTGTTCTCACAGCCCTGAGCTCCTCCCCAAGAGGAGACCGGACAGTTCATTCTGCCTACAGGCATTACCTCCCACAGAAAACTCCTTTGCCTGTTCACACTGTGAGCCTCACCTAAAAACGTGCCAGAACTCAAACCAAACCAAACAACAACAAAAACTCAGCACTGTTAGAGACAGCATTTGATCTTTTATTTAAAAACTTTCCTGCTACAAGGCTCCCAACTGATTATGAAGCTAGCTGATAGGTGGTAGAGCTGGGATTTGAACCCAGATGCCTCATTCCTGAGCCCTCGCTTTTACCCCTACTGAGTAGGTTGTCACCTTGGTGGACACTCTGCCTCTGAGGTTGCTTGGGCCTTTTCTGGGCTATCATTCACATGCTAAAGAGAAACAGAAGAAACTAGCCCCTCTAATGAGTGTCTATTCTTCCACTAATCCTCTACCCTACTTAAACATCTTTGCATGGCCCATTGTGTTCTCCATACTCATAAGAGCCTGCCCAAGAAAGGGCCTATTGATATCAAGGTGAAATAACCAATGAATATGTTCTATTAAGATCTGAATGGAAGCTCTGTTCCATTATAAAGAGCCCTGGACTAATGTCAAGGAACATATATTTAAATCCCAACTATAGCAGTGATTGTATCTTCAATTCTTTGCACATCTGTTTCCTTACCAGTCAAACTAAGATGTCTTTCCAGCCCCATATTTTTGTGACTCTATGACTGACTGCATGTTAAGACGTCAAGTTATTTAAAGTTAGTGTCCAAGCAGGAATAAACTCTGTAATCATTTTTAGCTCTTCTTAACCACAGCAAGGTCATGCATACCACCAGAATACTTTTCATCCCCACTGTTGTGGAATTAAAGATATATAACACACTACTATTGAATGTGAAAATAAATTGTCCCATCTTTATTTTTCTAATTAGGTGTTTTCTTTTTTCTAATTATGTGTTTTGTTTTCTTTTTTTCTATAGCTTCAACAGGGAACTACTCTCACTAGAATGTAAGCTCCAGGAGGACAAGGGTTAGTGTCTGTTGTATTCCCTGTGCATGATAAATAAGACACACTCAATGGTTATTTATTGAATGAATTAACACAAAGTGCTAATTAATGCTACCTCATCATATTCTTGTATATTCTTTTTCTAAAATCTTAGTCATATCTGGTAAATGTTCAGTTTTTATGTATTTCCTCCAACCCACAGTTTTTCTTCAAGGAGGTATCTGAGTTTATAGACAGGTGGGCTTCTGTGACCTTGTAGTGGCAGGAAAAAGGTAGCCTCAGACCCAAACCAGCAGGTTCCTGCTCTCCTTTGTGTTCTCTGGAATCTGCAACATGTCCCTTATCTGTCTGGTCACTTGGCTCCCTGCTGACATCTACTGCTGAAATCCCTGGCTGGTTTGTTCAGTTGGATCAGTTTGGGAACTATGATCATCTCCTTCTAACTGAGCCCAATCTCAGCCTTTACCAGAGCTGCAAGACTCTCTAAGTCTCAGTCACATCTGTAGGGAAGCAAAGTTTGCCACGCCAAAATGTGTCTCTTTGGCAGGAGGATTATTTTAGGCTGATTATTTTTAAGAAACAAATAACTTAGGAAGTCTTTCTTTTTTACCTCCTTAACTGCCTAAAAGAATTTAGATAAAGGGCCTGATCCAGGAAGAGCATTATCACCATAGATATCTATGAAGAATATGGGCTAGTTGTGGTAGGGGGAACTCCTGGACCTGGAGACCAAAGTCTCCAGGTGAATTGCCTTCCTCCCCTTTGAAGTCCCAAACTCTACTCCTTCTCCTTCTCTCAGATGGCATATAAGCCATCTTATATAATTGCCTAACTTCTCCCTGGGTCTCATTTTTCTTATGTGGTCCCATTACGTATGTAATTAAATTTGATTTTAACCTGTTAATCTGTCTCATGTCAATTTAATTCTTAGACCAGCCAGAAGAACCCAAAAAGCATAAAGGGAAATTTTTTCCTTCCCCTATACATCCTTCATCTGGATCTTTGCCAGGGTTGTTATTGCTTGACTTCTTTGTGGGATCCCCTGACCCCTTGCTGTGGGCATGGCAGGAGCATGGCAGATATACTGGCCCATCTCAGCTGGCTTCTGAATTCCCCACTGGTCAAGCAGAACTTTCTGAGCCCTCAGTCCAACACAAGCACTGAGGAAGTCTTGGGATTGACCATACCATACCATACCACCATTTTTATTCTGCTGTAGGCTATTCACTAAGTCACTGGAAAACTGTGCTGTAAGCTTTCACTTTCAATGAAACATGCTCCCCACCCTGGGATTTCAGCTCAGAGGTAAGAGGTCAGAAAACCTTGTTTGACCATTTGCATAAATTGCCTTCTATCAGGGTTCCCTTTTCTATCCTTTACCAGGGCAGAAGAGGTATGCTTTCCCCATCTCATATGGCAGAAAGTCCCTTACTTTATCTCTTGAGTGTCTTTTGTCCATGGTTTATAATAAACTCAGTGTTCAAGTCTATGAGCCTGGATCACAGGAATTTAGGAAACCCTTTTTGGTGTGAACAAAGCCTGGCTTTCAGCACTATTGT